TTACTTAGGAGGCTGTGTTTGGAGTCCCAAAAGAGTCTTCTGATAATGAAGAAAGGGAAGCAGATAAGGAAATTTAAATTTAGCACTTTTTTTTAGTACCTGTAATGGACTGATTCATTGTCAAATCATCACGTGACCAACGCTCCCTCTGCGACCCAGCAGGTAAAACCTCCAATTGAATTTTAAAAAATATTCCATACGATTTATAGGTGGAGAAAGTGGGGGCTATGTTTGCATGCTTCCTTCTTTGGTGGGGTGTGTATCCCAGCTAGAGTTATCTTATTAAGTAAAAACAACGAAAGATCGCATTAACCAACACTCTTAGTACCTGAAAAAGTGTCTGTTTTAGGGTTATCCTAAATGCAGCGTTTGTAAGTCACTGGTACAAGAATAATGATTTGAAAAATTATCAATGATTGTATTTTTCTTGTAGTTTATTTGCCCACGTCTCCTATTGTGTCTGAACTGGAAGAAAGTAACAACGACACTCCTGTTAATTTCTTGCCCCCTGCAGAAGATGGTATTAGTGATTTACCCCATTTAGATGACATTGAAGTTGACTAAGATGGTGAAGACGGAAAAGAGCCTGTCCCATTTTAGAAATTTTAAGCAGATTTTGCTTAAAAGCTGTGATCAGTTGAGCTATTGAGAGGATCAGAGGAGTCACCATTTTACTTTTGAGAGCATCTTCACAAAAAACTAAAAAAAGAAGGCATCACAAATTCTCAGAAGCTATGGCACTGACCCACACGACATGCCATTTGTCTTAAGTACCCAAAATGAAGATATTATCGCTTGTTTATGTCTTCCTTACTTTTTACCCTAGCAAAAAGAGATCGGCCCATCAGAAGCAGCATATGCCTTTCCTCCATCTGTGTTGGCCTATATTCGCCATTTGGCCCCGGGAGATATAACAGGAGAAATAAGACAGGTACGAACCACTTCCTTTATTCTTTAGGAGAAATATTACAAGTCATCCTGCCATCGGTTTTTGCTCTTACAAATAGTCGCTAATTAGCACCACTGTATGTAAAGGATATTGTACAGGTATTCACAATGTTGTAAAAAATAAATTTTCTTATCTTTTTTTCACTTTCAGAATGCTCATAAAGTGACAATGGGGGAGTTTTGTAAGGCAATGGAGTTGCCCAATACCAGTCAACAAGTTCCACTGAACAAGAAAACCATGGTTTAATTAATTATCTAACAATTCTGTGGCGAGCTATTAAACAGCAATTTGATAAACATGTGAGATAGATCATTTTGTTAAAATTATTACTGAAACAGTTTTTCTCTTTTGTTACATACACACTTTTCATATGTATACACCTAATTGCAGAAGCTTTGTCAAACAAAAAAGCAAAAACAAAAAAACAAAAAGCCAAATAGGAATTAGTTATCCATGCAAATTAACCTTTGATATTTTGATAATACTGAAGACATATTTGTAGAACGGTGTAGTACTTCAATGTGACGTTAGTTGAGTAGAGGGAAGGTAAATGGGCCACAGTGAAGACAATTCGAGTTCATCCTTTTGTCAGACCAGAACTTTGAATGTAGTGAGCATGTCTAATATATTCCTATTCACCATTTTTCATACACTCACTTTTTTCATTTTTTCTATGACAGCGTTATTGCATTTAGGTGTACATATATATGTATGTTTTCAATTATAATAAATTCAAAACCTGTGACCCAATTGACATTTTTCCCCTGACATTAACAAATATAGGTAACTATCAAACCACACAAAACTCCAAATTATAACCAGACATAAGGCTTTCCTCAAAATCTTTGGATCTTGGTTGCTTAGTGAAGAACTGTTAACCAGTTAATTACCCCTGTTACTTTTGACATGTAACTTTAAACAGCTGCAGTTGAATCCTATATGTGTTCTCAAAATATTCATGTATGTATATGCTCACAGGAAAAAGACCAAAAGTAACATAATGACTTTGATGTAAAATCTACAATGTGTTTCTTTCTTTTAGGCAATGCATCACCTTTAAACTCACAAGAGTGAACACAATATAAAATCAAAGAAATCAGATTATCTTCAATTTCCTTTTAAAAAAAATCTAAAAACCAAATAGCACCAACACTTTTGGAGAAGTGCCATTTGAATAGTCACTCCCGCTGGTTCTTTCTACAGTCTCAAAAGTAAGAAAATTACTTATCTCCATGATTGAAACTGGACTAATGGGTGACCACTGTAATTGGTCAGAGTGGTCGCCCAATGAACCTTTCTCACATGGCAGCCATGTTGAATCACCAGTCTAAACTGGCTCTCAAGTTTTTCAGTGTGAGGCTGGATGGGCAGAATGTTTTGTTTTCATGCAAAATAGTCGCTGTGTGATAAGGGTCTAATATATAGATTTAGCCAGGGCTAAAAGCGAAGCTCCAATTTTAATAAATTTATAATTTAAATCAAACAATAAACTTTTAATCCACAAATCATTTAACTTAAGGGCACATTCATGTGACTTTTGAGGGAAAGGCTAAGTTATTTTAGAGTGAAACATCTTACATCGAATTGATAACCTTATATGTACACCCAAAAAATAGCAAACATCTTCGATGACATTCAAGATCACACTAGATTAGGTCTCGAAAACAAATTCTTGGAAAACAAATCACGCCAAATTTTTTTGCCTTTGACAGGTTTACTTTACAAATTCTTGCCAACAACAACATTTGAGGTGAAACAGTACTATTTATCATACAGAGCTCGGACAGAATGCGGTATTTCACAATTTTTCAAGACAAATTACACTCAGTCAATATTCAGGACGAGCCAAACCGTTCAAAAATGTCAGAAAATTTCCAAAATCACCCATACGGCCAGCTGGTTATCGTTTCTATAGTGCGAGCTGTCAGTGTGGTCGAGTGTTTGAATGAACTTTAACAGAGTTACGCTTCAACATAATAGCGAATTTATTATTATTTGTTTTGTTATTTAATGGTTTCAGTTATAACGATGTGTAATCTTATAAAGCGTTTGATACGCGCGACATTTTTGAGTACTCCTGCAAGCGATGGTCATGAACGATGAAAACAAACGGCACAGACAAGCGATTAAAATTGCAAGAGAGACTACTAACAATCAAAAAAAGAGATATAATTCCGTGAAACATTTACAGAGACAACAATTTTCATTCACGAAGACAAGTATTAACGTGTCTCTAAAAATCCTGAGTCTTTAAGCGTAAAGCTTAAGTTTATGTTTTAGCCGGCTTCCCAGCACGGTGTTTACTGTTTTCGAAGGTGAACTCATCGAAGCAAGAAAATCGCTCAAAGTTTTCTTTCTACAGCCAAATTTATAACTAAATATACTTCGGAACGTTTTCTTTCTATTTGTGGTGAGCAAATATATCTGAAGGCTTTTTAAAGTTCTGTAAGCTTATATCAAACCTGATACTAGGTCAGATCATTGACTCAAATCCTGCAAACGTGCATAAACGTGCCGCATAAACTGTCAGCGTGAACAGTGCAAGACTTCAAGAAACACAAACATCAAATACAATAATTACTTAGGCTTACCATTCGAGATTCAGTTCCTGAAAGCTATAAAGGGAGGCCACAGTTGCTTGAGACTTTTAAACCCTCTTACGCATTAAGCAAGGTGAAAAACGACAACGATGCCATCCGAAATGGAATTACCGAATTTTGACAAGCGACGCATTTCTCAACCAAAACCCAGTAAACAAACCAGCCATGAATAACAGAAGACTCTTGATAGCAGCTGTATTTCATTTTGTACCTCCAGAGGAAAAAGACAGTTAAAAACATCACAAGTTGACAGAAAACCCTGTCAGCTTCAGCTGTCAAAGTAAACTACTGTCAAGATGCTGCATAATTTTTCCGCATAAACTCACCTGTCAAATTTTGACCAATCAGAGTATAAAAATTGGACGTAGAGCGTGACCAACGCGTGACCATGGTAAGATAAGGTCTTCCCTGCCTGTACTTTTAAAAAACTGGATGAATTTTCGCTTCCGAGGTCAGTTTGAAATAAAAATCCTAATAGTGCGGGGCCATAGTGACATAAACACAACATATTTGATATGAATCCTTGGAAAAAATAAACTTGAGCGTGCGATCATTTGAAACTGGTAATTTGTCAGCGAATAAGTTTAAAAAATACTCGACCTCGATGGGTCGACACTTGAGCCCGCGGTACGGTCAGGTGATACTTGTCAGCGGATGCCCTGTTTTGATAGCTGTCAATTGATCACAACATTGATGTGCAGCCTGTGCAATTAGTTTTCTCTTGGGCTCCCAAACTAGCTAAAAGTGTGAGAGTAAACATTGGTTTTCCTGTGGTGCGGACGGATGGCAGGCGGTCGGTGTACGGTCACGTGATTACCAAATTTTCTGGGATGGGTAGATTTACTTAGCAATGGGGCTCCGCCCACGCGCGCGCTTCCCGCGCGTGGAGCTCCGCTATAAGAATTTTCTAAGCTGAAGTAAATGTAAGGGATCCAAAAATGAGAATTTGCCTTATGCTTTAGCGATTAAAAAGTTTAAAATAACCACTATGACTGTCCTTTTATGCTTAATTACAATAAAGGCTTCTTCTACACAGTCTGCGACAGACACAATGTCATGGTCATGTATTACTTTTCTTTCTTCTAGGCAATTTGTTTTTTTCACACTCTCTAACACTGCTGGACAAATTGCTCGCCCTTTTCCTTTTTGATGCCTTCTGAATGCTCTCCATTGGTGTCTTTTTCTGTGATGCCCTCTGGGTTGTCTCTCTTGCTGTCTTTCCCACTGCTGTTATTTTGGTAGTCTTTCTGGCTTTCTTTGTCTTTGATCTCTTCTTAGTGGTTCCACTTGTCTTCTTTCTTTTTGCACCACCATGAAATGATTGCGACTTGTACATGATCCCCTCCTCGTGGAAGAAGGCATCCTGTCTCTTATGCTTCTCCTTTCTCTTCGTTTTTTTTGCAGCAACTTGACCTCTGGGGTATTTCGATAATCAGACTGATAGATTCGATCTATATCAATATTTTTCCAAGCTTCAAGCATTTTTGGTTGTATCTTAATGCCAAGAGCAGGGAGAAGATTTGTGTAGGTGGCGCTGAAGCCCTGGTTGAAATGGCAAGGCTTATCTCCCGGGGTGAACTAAACATTTCTTTGGCAGCCATTCCCCATATGACATGATGCAAGCACTCGTTTCTATTTTGGGTGTAGCAATTTTCACACCCCACAAGGAAAGTCTCATCACCTAGGCGATTAAACAGTGGCTGTAACACCTCTACCACAGCATCAGGCAAGGGGTTCTTAATGGGCTTATGGCAGTTGGTGCCATTTGCACGATCACGCTGGAAGCTGCACCAGGATGTGGGACCAGAGGGGCAGTCATTATGCTTTGGTTCTTCCAGCGTACTACTATAATGTTTAAGAATAGCATGCGTTGCCTTTGCCATTTCCTTTGCATTGCCCTTGTTATCTCTAATCGCTCTTCCATAAACGTTTTGGATGGTGTCCATTCTATTATGTGTCAATCTTCTTGTGCCTCCCAATCCTTTACCACCTGATAACATTTTACCTACAAAAACATGACAACAAAAAGGTTGAGGAATTAGTCAGAATCACAACTCTCATACAAGTACACACGTATTAATATTATCCACTGCTCACACACAAGATTCTTTTAACGTTACATGTGGTTATTGGGTAATATTATTTTTTTATATTTCAGACGTACTATATTATTATAAAGTTGAATTACAGGCATTTTAACCGACAATTTAATAGAAAACTTAGACAGCTAAACATGACTAAACAAAAAAGTCTTTACTGTTAACAATCCTTGAATAAGTTATGGAAAATCTATGGATGAAATACACCCTTTCTGTCAATGAACATGTATGCAATTGTCGAGTATGTTCATTTTATTAAGTCTAATAAGCCATTCCCTGCCATTTTTTCCAGCTGTATTTTTTTAAATTCATTAAAAGTGTTTTATGCAACACTATGGAGATTGGCTTCTGGGGGTACTTAGGACTTGATTAATAGCAGAGCTTTATTTTTTCCCAGATTGAATGCCAGAGAAAACAAAGAAAAAGAAAAAGGTCAGGGCACGTTCCTTTGATTAAAGCAAAAACAACATGCAAATCCACCCATTTAATGGCAAAAGAAAAAATTGACCAAAGAAGTCACAATAGCTTAGCATATAAAGACCGTTCCTATATTTTTTGTCTATTTCTGATTACCATAATCCAAGTCAAAGGACAGTAAGAAAAAGAAACACTAAACTGCTTAGATACAAAACCAAACAGACATCAAAATTCAAGTGGTCAACATTATTGACCTCAAGAGGAAAAGCAGGAAGGGAAAATCTTAAAATCCCTCCCATCAGGCAGTGAATGGTTAAATGCACATGACTTACCCTTGTAATCGGCAAGAAGTTTCCTGAGGCCAGTTCCCATTCGTTTAGTAACATGTGCAATACATTCCTCCTTGGGAATGAAAACAGCTAGACCATATGGTTGTGCTTCGCAAATGGCAGTGTAAGCTTTGCTATCTCCATCTCCAATGTAAGGGATGTAGCGTAGCTTTCGTAGTCGCACTGACTGCTGATATAGTAGTGTTGCCCCAGCTGACTCCATGGACTTGAATATAGAAAGAAAAAGGGGTTACTGGTCTCTTACCATAGGTCTTGAGGTTTTGGCATGACTACATGTTCTAATATAATTTTAAATAACATAAATGAAACAATACCTTGATGATGAGATGCATCTTTTTGGTCAAATAAAAAGTAACCAATAAGTGAATGTTTGTGATAAATATTATACTAAACTAAATGAAAGTCTCCCCTTTTACTATTTCCTGTTCTTTTGGTACCCCTGACCTCTTACTCCTAAAGACTGCTAACTTTAAAATCTTCTCAAGTGGTCAACTAATTAATGGTTGAACTATTCCCATTTTTTTGAGGCAGCATGGTTGTAGATTCCTCCGAGTTTACGTTGTTACAAATATAAATCAATATTCATTTACTTCTGGGAAAACAAAGCTGTTTAATTTTAGTCAATGTTGAGGGTCTCAGTACAGTGGGAAGATGTGTATGTGTGCATGGGGGTATTTTGTTTTAGTAGAAAATACAAATCCCAGAGAGCCAGAAATAAACATTTATGTACAAGCTGTGATCCAGAATTTCGGATGAAAAGTTCAGATGTGGCCAATACCGTACTTTAACCCATTTTTATGTCATATAGAAACATTCCACTTTTTATCCGCACCCCCCAAAAAGATGGCTGGAATCCAAACCCCCAATTTTTGGCTGGCACCCTTTGAAAAATGAAATCCAAAGGGTTAGTTTTTTGTGAGCCTTTTGGAAAGAAATGTCCGAAAGATCCAAACTTTGTAGGCTTCTTTGAAGAAAAAATCCGAACCCCCTTCTTTCCAAATCCCGCCATCCGTAGCAGGGGAAGGGTAGAAAAATGGAGTGTCTCGTAGGAAAGATATTGCAGTGAACTACATACCAAAATTATTACTAACAAGAACATATGAATGTCATGAACCAAGCTTTTGATAAGAAACATTACAACTTACTGCAGGGCTTCCCTCATGGTTTACATAGCAGTTTGGCTCGTGTCTGTTGAACCAGGCGAGATACTCCTGTTGACTCAAGTCTTCTTCCGCCTTCTTCTTTTGCATTCTTTTGCACTCCATACAAGAAGAAGACATGTGGACTACATTCACGACCTTTCCGGTGTCCGCAGAAATTGCAGCTACAACAGCATCCGTAGCTGACTATCCTCTCGAACTCCACAAGGCATTGAATGTCACACCCGCATCCACAATCGTATCGTCAAGTTCTTCAAGAGAACAGTCCACTTCACCGTTCAAAAACTTCCACTCTGTTACTTCACGAGCAGCGCGATTAAGTTCGGTTTCGAGTAAAATTCTTGCCCTTTCTTCGATCTTTTTTGTATAATCGGTCCATGAATTCTCGTTAATTGGTGCCAGGCCAAGAAAACTGAAAACTTTGGAAGCTGCTGAGTATCCGACGCCAATAGCTCAAAACCCGACAACAGATGAGCAATTTACTTCAAATGCTCTGCTCTGTTCGATCTTTTCTGTTGAAAAAAAACATTTTTTCCTGAAATTTTTTTTAAAAGAAAGCTCTTGATGAGCTCTATTTAATCATCTAAAAATTGCAATTTTCGAAAAATGATGTTTTTTTACCCTGTATGATACCTTAATGAAAACATAACACCTAAGCAGCACTACCTCATTCACTTACCTAGTCAGATATTAAATATAATGTAAAAACAACTACGAAAAACATATTGCTAATTTAAAATATAAGTATAAGCAAGAATTGACGCAAAATAAATAAGTGTAGTATTTCGCTTCTTATTTCAAGACTATTATCAAACATGAAATACAAGATGGAAAAGCGCTGAACTTATAAAGAGAGCTAGCCAGAAAGGTGTGACTGAATATGAACAAACACATAATTGTGACAAGAATGTGGAAGGAAAGTATAACAAAAATGCTGAAAGTCAAATTAAACTTAAAGCTAAAACAATACAAGCTCTTTGGCAGCTTTAATGCCATAGTTAAGGTGAGATATGTACCTCTTAATTAATAAAGATTCCAGAAAACATAATTGGTTGTAGTTATTGTTGGATACAGTACATTGGCTTTGTTGTTAAAACAGCCAAGTAAATTATTCAGAGAAGACAAAAAAAAACCATAAATGCCTCGCAGCTGCGTAAGTGTTGGAACATTGCAGAAGTTTGGTCAGAGCTGTGCTTGGACCATTAGTGAGGGTATGCACAGTGCACTTTAATGAGTAGCACAATCACCCCTCCCATTTGTGCAACACAGGGTCAAAAATCAAAATCATCGGGAAGTTTGTCTTTATTGTTTTATTCAATGCATTTTAGTCTTAGATGGCAATATCATTTTATATTTTTAATTAATTGCAATTTGAGAAGAGATAAAATACAATGTTTAATTACCTATAATACCTTGTGGGCGTGGCCAGTTACACAAATTTACAGGTTTTAACAAAATCGTTTATTTTTTTTCACCATGGTAAAAAAATATGTACAAGATTTACATTGATCCAATGATCTCTTCATGTTGCTGCATAGACAGCTTGTAGATGGGCTTCTTTCGATTTTTTTCTTCACAGAAATATCTGTACATATAGCACATACTGTCCCGCATAAACTACAGCTAGACCTTTAGTGTCAAGAGTGCAGGTCATATCTTGAAGATTTTCCCCTAAAAAGAAGTGACCTTTGAGAAATGCACTGCCACTAGGGTATTGGCAGGAATAGTCATCAGTCATAGGCTCCTCTAGCTCTTCCACACCATTGGAAGTGACTTTTAGGAGGTAGAAATCATAAGCAGGATCCTCAAAAGCTGCTATGGCCACAGTGCTACCTTTGGCTGCAAGATCAGCCATGTGTGCCATGGTGTCATTATCCAGAGCTGATGTGGCTGTGGACTGCCTGGTGGTGGCTGGGGAAGCTTCCCTTTTGATTTCTACTTCCTTCCAGTCATCAACCCACTCCATGTTCCTGCATTGATCCTCATCTAGTATACAATCAGTGCAGTAACAAGAGCGATGTCTGGTTAAGACCTTCTCTAGTTGTGGTAAGCTCTTAACACAGTGCCATTTTTTTATTCCTGGGACTGACCTGAATTGCCTTCCAGGTCTGTTTCTATCTACAACCCCTTCTCCCTGACTGGGAACAAAATGACCCAACGTTTGAGTTCCACTGCTTTTGTTCGTGAGTCAAAGCTGGATGCCACTGGAAGGGTGAAATTTTCAACAGGATACTTGTACATACTCTCTGCATTTGTGATTCTGGCCATTCTTTGTAAAACAGCCTGGCTCACCCTCTCGTTCACATGAGACCCAGCTGCGTCTTGTTCTCCCTTGGCAGGCGAGGTTTCAAAGTAGGAGCACTATGTGTGGTAGCCAAAATCCATAAGAGAACATGATAGATCGCCTACACAGTGTCTTGACTTGTACTGTGCAGCACAGCCATCAGTGAACTCATGAAGCTTCCCCACCTGATAGCCTAGATCATTCTGAAGATAGCCATGAATCAGCTCCTGCACTTTGTGAACACTGTCGTGGTCTTGTATTGGATCATCTGAGATGACAAATATGTGTACCTTGATTGTATTGGGCCCCTCCTCACTGCTGCTTGCACCATCCACTGCCTCTACAGCATGGCGGTACAAGGTAGAAACATGAAGAGAGACTTTGTTGATGTCAAAGTACTCACTTTGTCTCCTCTTGCCTTTTGCAGGTGTAACCCTCAGAGTAATCATGAATGCATACCACGTGTCCCTGCGGCAAATTATTTACTACACTATCTAGCTGATCCTTTTGCCACCGTACCATGAAGATATGACTTGGATATCCAGCAAGAAGATCAGTAATATACTTGAACGGCTGCGATGGTGGTGTCTCCTTCTGCACAAGTGTTATCTTCTTCTTCTCTGTGCCGTCTGGTAGATATTTCCCCGTAGGTACATACTCGTAGCGCGACCACGTAACTAGGCCATTATCACTTGACTTCTCCGGTAAAAGAGGAAATTTGTCAACACCACAATCTTCACACATTCTTTCAATACATTTCAGATTGTGGTAGCCTCTTCCTTCTTCTTTTGCACATAGAGTCATCTCAACTGCCTCGTTCAGTGTTTTGGGAATTGGTGGCGACTGGTGGTCATCTGCTATCAAAAACTTCCTACACTTCATGCAGTCGGTGAAAACGATTTTTGTTTCCACATGCTTACGACACAAGCATGACCTCCGATCTCGCTCTCTGGCCTGCTTGACATAAAAAGGCTTGACATTTTCAAACTTTCTCTGTTTGAATTTATCTCTGGATGCAAGTTGCAAAATTCTAAATATGCCTCAGTCTGTGTCTTCTCAAGCACATGGCCGGCGTGGTGCAGGTATTCCTTTTTGCCAACTCGCTTTTTTAACGTGTCTTTTTTGTCGCCTGTTGGACAGCAAGCAACAATACTGCAGTAGTCATAGACAACTTTGGCATCTTTTTCGCTCAACATGTCGTGCCGAATCTTTCTTTTTGTGCGGATCAAGCTTAAGATTTCTCCCTTTAGTATCTTTTCTCTACGTCTAATTGCGTGATCGATGCTTTTTGTATTAAGGTTTACCAGTTAAGACAAACACTTTTTTGCTCTTGATTTCTTCACATTACTCCCAAAAGCAAGAGATTTGAAGGCTTGAAAAGCAGCACGATTTTGGTTAGACCCAGATTGCTTAACATGTTGGATTCCTTCCTTAATATCTTCTGCTAGCGCTTTTGAAGCCTTTGTTTCATTTTCCTCTTATGGTGTCTTAACTAATCCTTCCTCTTCCAAAATTTTCCTGGTCCTTGGACTCTGTATCACAGTTTGTTATATCTGTGCTTTTTTTCTTGGTGTGGCCGGAAACGCGTGTCACACTTCATCAGGTCCGCATTTTTTTGAGGTTCTGTTTTGAAATCCAGGTGATTCGTCTGTTGTCAAGAAATTGCTCTCTTTTCCTCTTCACGGTGTCTTCTCACTCGTTCTCTTGTCTGTTCTCTTATTTTCGTCTTTCTTCTTTGGCTGCACATCTTTTTTCTCTGATCTCTTTTGCTTTGCTTCCTTTCTGGGCTTTCTTTATGGTAAATGAGCCATGTGTTTGCGGACATGAGTCAGATTCTCGGCTTTCTCTTCGTTTTTCTTTAGTTTTTTCAATCAATATACCCTATTTTTTTCTTTCTTTTCTGCTTTTCTCCTTAGCTCCACAATTTTTTTACATGAAAGACCGTGATATTGGCTCTCCATGCTGCATTCCTTGATCGTTTGGATGAACACACGCACGTACTTGGAAGAAGAAAATGTCATGTTTTCGTCAGGTTGTGTAATACAAAGGCCCTGAATCTGCCACACGTCCACCCCTTGTATTGACATTAAACACGTGTGATTCTTTGGGGAAGAGAAGAGAGTCAAGTCCGCCGAATTTGCCAAGATCCATGGCCGGTTAGAAATGGTTTACATGACCCTACACGCTTGTTGTTCCTTTGTTACGCTTTGTGAGCACAGCAATTTTACCAGAAAGTGTTTCAGTTTTATTCAGTGAAGAATATCTCGCGTTTTATGATGTCAAAAGGGCTACAATTCGGAACAAAGACAGATCGATATAAGCGCAACAGTGTGTTGTCTGTTTGATGTCAGGTTTATCAAGAGTTGATATCAAAAGACCCGTTTAATATTCTGAGCTGTCGTTGCAATTAACTCTTTTGTGGAAAGATAAAATGTGTTAACAGATAAAGTTAGCTTGAGTAAAGCCCATTACGGCCCCAGGGTTTTAGTTCATATTGTGATTTTAGAAAGTGACAAATCCTGAAAAACCTTGTAGAGGTAAAACGACTGAGCGGGTGCGTTATATGGGGAACAGAAATAGTAATCTCATGTTTTTTATCCTTATAATAAAGTAATTCCCCTCAAACTTCACCAGTTATGTTTTTAGTTATTGCTTTATTGATTTCTTTGTTTTGGGACTGCTTTGTGGTTTAACAAGGCACGTTAAGCTTGTGAATGCGCACATAGGTGCACATTTCTGTAACGCGTTACATGCCAAATTAGCACATTTTAGAACAAGTAGTTCCATTTTTCATAGGCTTTAGTTTGAACCATCAGAAAATTGATTAGTTCATTTGAAAGAACTGCCATTTCCCCCAAATATTTCAAAATCTTACAGTGTTTCTTTGCAACTAGCGCGATATATTCGCTCGTAAACCTGGCTGACCATTAAATGGGAGGGGTGATTGTGCTACTTATCTTTGAGGCCAGTTCACCAACAGTTCCAGAAAATATCTTTAGTTAACATTTGAAACCACATCGCAGCAAAATGTCGCCTCAAATTTATTCTTAGGATCCTCTCTCAGATCTGTCTCAGTTACATGTTGCTGACGAGTCCAACATGGTGGCTGAAATGGCCGAGTTGGAGATCTGTCGTTATCCTGGAAATGCCAGGTCAAAAGTGTGGGAATATTTTGGTTCTTATCAACTGTAGGAAGGGCCCAAAACAAAGGAACACTTGGATATGACAAAGGTAATCTGTAGGCTCTGCAGAAGCAATACGCCAACAAAGGTTTGTGGCACCTGTGTTTTGTTGATTTTGTGTCAGTCTCACTTGAACTGCTGCAATGTAATCATGACCATAAAAACAGTTTAAAATCTTTAAATAAGACATTTACCAGATGGTAAATGTAGTTAATGGAACATGAAGCCCCAGGGGGGGGGGGTAGGCTAAGGTAGCCTGCCCCAATGTATGCTCTGTTCGATCAACAAAGCCTTATTTATGAACGAAAGCACGCTAATTTTAAGATACAAACAAACTGTTCGTGGTTGGAACCTGACTAATTTGTCGTATGTTTGTCATCATATTTTTCTTAGCATCGCGCACATTGGTCCCTGTTTTCAAGGCCCTATTCATGGCTAGACTTTAATCATGATAAGACTAGGTAGCTTATGGTACAACTGTATTCATTGGTCGAGATTTGAGACACTGTCTAGCTATAAAGTTCTGCTATTTCACACCTGGTCATTATTCGCCTAGCTTGCACGAAAGCAAACAGTTACAGTAATTTTGTTA